GCGTAAATTGCACAGAACAGCAGACCATGCATTCACTTCTTCTCGTGTATCGCTGGCATAACAACAAAAATATATAAATGCATAAACTTGAACGAATAAACTTAATTTGTATATATATATACCAAGACATGAATTAAAGATAGAAGGTAGCAACAGCGTTTAACTCAAAATGACGGTCTAAGCTCAATCATTTATGGCCATACATTTTGGACCATAAACTTACTAAAAATTGACATTGACTTACAGTGGAAACTTCCATAATTGTAAGGTGCTCTAATAGTCTCATGCTATAGTGACCTATTGAAAATCATTAAGGAGAAACGAAAATTTAAAGTAGTTACCAAAGAGTGTATATTCTTTAAAATGTAGGATTAGAAAAGTTTCAAAGATATAGCTTCTTGTCATCAAGTATTCATATAATTCCGCTAATATTACAAGAACAAAGCACCAATATATTAGCGGTGAATAGAAAATTGTTGCACATCACCAAATAACTAAATTTTGATCTTACGTTTCTTAAATAAAAACCGTTTAAAAAAAAAACTACTACTGACTTTGAAGAGTTACTACTGACTTTTCTCTTTTTTTCATTTGACACTATACTTCATTTTGAATCTGGGTGTTCTTCACGAGCTGACTCCTTTTCGTTCGGTCCGCTGATATCATCTACCAGTTAACATTTATTCTTACGTTCCTATTTCGTTTTTCGCCAACCAATGTATGTTGCGCGCATGGAAATCCTTTTTAGATTTTAGACATGTGCTTGGCAAGGAAGCGAGCCAGATTACGCCTTGTAAAAATTGCAGGTTGATTCAATGTATTATTTAATGAAGTTTCACTCAATATCTACTAGTATACTATTAATTGCAATAGATCACCATATAAATTTAAAATAATATGAATAATAAAAATGTCAATGATAAATTTTAATATTAGTACAGTCAATTATAAAGGTATTATTCTGTTGACCTAATATATAAAATATAAATATTTTTTGAAAATAATCAAATTGTTTTGTAATCCAGTCTTTGTAGACAAACTGAAGATGAGAATATGAGAAGATGAAAATATTCCACGTAAACGATGATGATTAAAGTCCAGGGAACCTCCACAAGCCACAGACATCTCAACACTTTTTTTATTTTTCCCGTCCCATGAGTGGCTGCTTCCTATCGAGTGAATTTGGAAGCTGGCCCTTGCTTTTGTTCTTTTACCGTAGAGGCCAGTATATTGCCATACTGCCTGGAGGTGTTGGATCTGACATCGATCCGAGTACAATCCCTTGTAACCCGTACTGTCCCAGTTGGCTTATATGCCGGTGCTTTTGAGGTACTAGGTTTTTCATTTGGATGTAGCCTCTTAGATGAAGGCACCTGTGATTTAAATTCACTAGGATTCTCTATCGTTGGTAGATATCTTTTAATCGGGTGCATTTGTTAAGGAAACAATGTATTGTTCTTAACTAATTATAGAGAAACTTAACTGATCATGCTTCAAAATTCTTGACCAAGATGTTAGCTGGCATGTTTATAAAGTACGAGTAGTGTGACTCAACTTCCTTCAAACAATGTCTTTTTCGTTTGTAAGGCATAGTTCCTTGCTAGTATTATTATTAATAAAAATAGTTTTAAGCTGTAATCTGTGATAAGTTCTATTGCACTATACTTCCATACAGGTGTGCAAATTGTCTTAAGCTCGTTACAAGCTAAATTTATTAGAAAAATTGAAATCCCTTTCAATTACATTTGAGGCAATATTTGAAACCTCCTTTAATTTAAGGGAAACAAGAATAAAGGTGATCATTTCTTATCGCAGATACGAGCAGATAAAATGAGCGTATATTTATCTTCTCTTTCCGTAGAATCTGGGGGTAGCGCAAACCTTTATGTTGCCTTAGCTCTTTTTTTTACTTGCAACTATAATTTTCTTCTTTAGAAACCTAATTTCCCTTCAAGGTTTTCAGTATACGGAATTTAAAATATTTTAAAACCTTTCATAAAATGCGTTAAATCATTTGTTTGGAGAAGTTAATTAGTTCAACGCAGTTAAGATTGCCAATTTATTTGCAGGACTTTTAATGCAATTGTTTCCCGTTCAGCAAAACGAGCGCCCCGAGTAAAAAAATGTCTTATACACATGCAACAGTTGCCGGCTGTAATTCATTGCATACTTTTGTGCGTTCTTTTCGTTTTGCATTTCACATTTTGCCCTTTGATTTTTTTGTTGCTTTCTAAATTATACGAATGCACGATAACAATAAATATTTTTTGAAAATCTCTTTTTTAACTTAAGTAAACATTCATTCTCGTTTGAAAATAAAATATTTAGAAATGAAATTTTCATTTAAATTCACTCACATTTGTTACTGGCAGTTAAAAAACAAATAGCGCGGAGTAATGTAAGAATACACAGAAAAAAGAAAAAATATAAAATAAAATGGAAAAACTAATAAAAGAAGAAAACCGGTAAGAAGAAAACAAGTCAATGCAAATATTTTTACTTTGTGCTTTTTAAATATTTAATTTCACTTACCTTTTCCCCACCGCCGTTACGTTTGTGCAATGCCAAAAGACGACGACAACAACAAAAACAACATTAATAGCAAGAAACAAAAACAAAACAAAAAAGAAAGTCTAAATTACACCAAAAGGATTCTTTCATTCAATAGAAAGGAGCACTGCTGCTGTTTGGCTTGCTTTGGCTTGGTTTTCTTACTCGTTGCACATAAAAAACCACCAAAACGAAATTGCTTTTCCAACGAATTTTCATTTCTTTTGCCTCTACTATATCCAGAGCTTGTCCTTTAAGGTATAAGTGTATGTGTGTATGTGTTTTTTTCAGCTCGTTTGTTCTTTCATTTTGTTTGAGTCTTTTTTTTGCTTTGCTTTTGTTTTTGCTTCTGGTATTTGGCTCATATTTTAACATACCTACAGAAGCATTGCTTTGTAGTTGAGTGCATGTGAAGTCGAGTTCTAAAATGTATAAATTTTAACTGTGCCGCCAAAAGGCAAAGTGTGCACTTTGGAGGCAGGCATAGCGCCCCCTGTTAGCTGTTGAAGTGGGAACGCGCTGCTGTCACTACTGGAGTTAACCATCAATACTAAATTTGCTACTAAATTGACGTTCCGTACCGGGGGCATAAGGTGAGCTGTACGAAACCAATTTCTGCTCTGTTTTGTATCTTTTACGCTATGCAGCTTCAAATCTACTGGCGGCGGCACAGGTAATATTTCTGTATAAATCGGTAATACGAACTTATTGAGGGAATCCGTCTCAGGACAAAAACATTGATAAATTTGAATATGCAAAACGAAGAGTAGCTTTTAACACGATTTTTGTACATCACTTATCTTTACGTATACTTAATTAAAATATGTAAAGTTGTTAGTGATAATTATCGAAACCCAACATTTGAAGTAGATTTTAAAAACTGCGTGCCAAGCAATTATCAGTCAAACGTTCGAAAATTTCAAAACATACTAAAGTCAAATTTCCATAACTCGAACTTCTCTAACTCGAATTTTTCTATAATTCGAACAAAAATTTTGTTCCGGGCCGATAGGAATATGGAAAAGTGCATTCTATAAGTAGAATTTTTGTTTTAAATATAAATGCATTTTGCTGTTAGGCGAAGTCCCTTTTTTCAAACTAAATATTTGACCTTTTCTTTCTTATTTTGCTTCTTTGTGCCAATGCCAGTCGGTGGCAGTTTGGTTTAAAGTAAATAAAATAACTTCCAATGCTACTCTTAACCATTATATTATATTGAGCTTCACAATGAAATTTGTACATCAAGCTTTCCTACAGATGACGATATTATTGAGCACTATAGTTATAAATTACTGGACCCAATTCTAAGCGCAACGGAAAGTGATGATCAGGGTTCGGTGGATGTAATTGTTCATCAGCCTTCCAAGAATGCATCGAATAATATTACAACTGATGATCACTATAAGAGTATGAATAAAGTAGTATATACTATATACTAATATAACTATATACTATATACTATATCTATCATACTATATACTATATACTATATACTATATACTATATACTATATACTATATACTATATACTATATACTATATACTATATACTATATACTGTTCACTATATACTATGGTATAATTAATTTCATTGCAACCAACATAATAGATTTGAACATTTTGAGATTTTAGCTTTCACCGTATTCTGGAACTGTCTTCACAGTGTTATTATTTTTAATGAAAAGTTCACACATATTTTAAAGAAGTTGTATTCGGTTTAATCTTCTTTTACTGTATAAGCATTCTTCAAACAGTTTTTGTTGTATATGTTTTTTACAATGTAGCCTGACCACAAGATGAAATGTTTTGCAAAAAAATATTATCCATAGATGCTCCTCAACCTACACTGGGGGCCAACTAATGGTCATTGCCAGGAGCAGGTAAACTAAATTAAACGTTTTTTTCAATATATTTTTTTTGGGCATTGGTCGTATACTGATTTCCTTGTCTATACACGAACATTGCTTTTTCCTGTGGTACCGCAATGGGACATTATTTGTGCTCAAGTGGGCTTTCTTGGTAAATAAGGCCGCCACTCCAACCTAACCTAACCTAACTATGCTGAACAGTAAAGAAACGGTCTTCTGGACTTTAAAGTCCTGACGTTTCTTTTGTAGTCCCGAGCAGAGACATATAAAGTAATTGACACATTTCACTTCCTTTGGTATGGCGTATGTTGATATTTATGCATCGGATTATCGGATTATATTATATAATGCAGAAATGATGCTTTATTTATAGTATATATGCAAAAGTACCCGCATATAGAAACTGTCGTACACACATTTGATCCAACAACATTTCTAATAAATTACAGTCAAATTTCTGGACTCATTTTTAGAGATACTGAATCATTGAAACTTCCTCATTTGTAATTAATAATCACATTTTAACATGCTAGTATAATATTTTATTTAAAAAAATACGATTAACTATCCATTTATTAATAACATGGGTTGTATATATAGTATAAGATTCTTTGTTACTCAATCTTGGCGCTTATTTTGATAGGGCTGCACGCAGCCGCTGTTTTCGGGCAAATCACACATTCCCTTTAATGCGTTGAAGTATTTGTCGCCACAACTTACGGGAAGTGCTTTTCCGTTACGGCAGATATAGTAATCGTTACAGATCTTTAGAGAAGCATACATGAAACCATTTGGCTTGTCATGGCAGGCAATCTTATTGTAAAGATCCAGGTTGGATTCATGAGATTGCGGTGGTAATATTTGCGGTTGCTGAATTTGTGGTCTAACATGCACTACGGGGTTTAGTGGTGCTATAAGTAATGCTTGAGTTACTGTTTCGCAGGGTGGTTGCGTTGTGCACGGTGCCAGTGTTGTTGGCGTACAAGTTGTCGTGGTGCATGGTTCAGTTGTTGTTGGCGTACAAGTGGTGGTGGTGCATGGTTCAGTTGTTGTTGGCGTACAAGTTGTGGTGGTGCATGGTTCAGTTGTTGTTGGCGTACAAGTTGTGGTGGTGCATGGTTCAGTTGTTGTTGGCGTACAAGTTGTGGTGGTACATGGTTCAGTTGTTGTTGGCGTACAAGTTGTGGTGGTAACTGGTTTTGTTGTTGTTGGCGTACAAGTTGTGGTGGTAACTGGTTTTGTTGTTGTTGGTGTACAAGTTGTGGTGGTGACTGGTTCTGTTGTTGTTGGCGTACAAGTGGTGGTGGTAACTGGTTTTGTTGTTGTTGGTGTACAAGTTGTGGTGGTAACTGGTTTTGTTGTTGTTGGTGTACAAGTTGTGGTGGTAACTGGTTTTGTTGTTGTTGGCGTACAAGTTGTGGTGGTGACTGGTTCTGTTGTTGTTGGCGTACAAGTTGTGGTGGTACATGGTTCAGTTGTTGTTGGCGTACAAGTTGTGGTGGTAACTGGTTTTGTTGTTGTTGGCGTACAAGTTGTGGTGGTACATGGTTCTGTTGTTGTTGGCGTACAAGTTGTGGTGGTAACTGGTTTTGTTGTTGTTGGCGTACAAGTTGTGGTGGTACATGGTTCAGTTGTTGTTGGAGCGCAGGTTGTGGTAGTACATGGGGGAGGTGATGTTGTACATGGAGATGGTGTTGTGACACAGGAGTCTTCAGTGCACGATGACGCAACATCACATTGTAAAGTTGCTAAATTAAATGCTTGCCCACTCTGACACGTACCTGATGATACAACTCCGAAATTTTTGCAAAGATAATATTGTGCAGGATTGGTTGTTGACACTATATAACCACTATATTGCGTACAGCATTCTCCACTGCAACCTGTTGGTGGTGTGGGATCATCAGGTTGAATTTCCACACATCCAGGGTTATTTTGACAGCATGCGTTAGTGGCTGGATTGTAGTAATTAGAGCAGGTCATTAACATACTTACACCATTTTGGCATTGGTAGTATTGTGAACAACTACCGGGTACTATTGCTTGAAAACCATTTTGCTTTGATAAGCATAGATACTTGCTGTATAAAGTATTATCGATGGCCCGAAAGTGCAGGGTAGCAGCGTTGTTGTATGTTACAAGCGCCAAAAGACAACACGTGAGTACTATAATCAGTATTTTATTGAATTATATTTTACAAACATTTAAAATTGAAGTTTTTACTTACATAAATAGCTTTTCATGTTGTGTGTGAAGGAGCTATTGTGTGGAAGGCTTTTATCAAGGCTAATTTGCTGTTACTCGTTTTGAAGTTTCTGTAGCTCTAATGAATTTTGGTAAGTTGGCCACTATTTTATATTGGAAATTTCCCATTGTAAATTGTAGTGACATGTCTTGCACCTGTTTCTAAATAATTACATTAAAATAATTGATATTCTCGTTCAAATCGTATAACTCTTATCTCCATGGAACAGTTTCAATAGAATTTTTTATAATTTAACTTTTTCTAGGCAAAATTCTGTAAAAAGAAGAACATGTTATCAGCTTCCGAAGTGATAAAGAAGTTTTTCGGTTGCTTTCTCGTGAAAGATATTCACTGTGTTTCACGTCATATGGGAAGGCTCACGTTTAAATTTCGGAAATAAATTATTCTAATGTAAAATCAATGTACATAGGTAAATTTACCGCTTGATAGCTTCGTATCAAACTCTCACATTTTTATTTTTTATTTATTTGTTTACCAATTTTCAGTTGTCGGTGATCGATAATAAACACGTACAAGTGACATATGTTTTCGGTGTACATACATAGTTCGCCGTATTAGTACAGTTCACCTACAAATATACCAAACACATCATTCCGTATCTGTTATTTTTAAATAAACACTCACTATTTCCTATAATAATCAATTTGCTGTTCAGTTTCTTATCTTTAACCTTAAAAAGTCAAAAATTATTTTGCGATGACGTACAGAAAACAAAATTGTCGCCAATTAAATTAATTTTTATGGTATTTTTTTTATGGTATATTTTGTGATGCTGTGTCAAGGGATATCTCACATATATTGCAGATACTTTTTAGTTTGAACGAGTTCTAATTTTATTTAATATCCTCACATATTTATGACTACATTACACTTAAACATGAAATATGTTTAGAATTTGCTGAACTAGCTTATAAAGACAGTATTCACTGGACCAATCTTCTATAACCAACTAAACAATATTCTTTACTACCAATGAAACAACTAAAGTTGTGTTCTGTAATGTCACATCACCACCAAATAATATGGAGATATCTTATATACAAAAATTAAGCGCATACACATGTGCGCTTAGAATAAGACACTACTATATGGTATTTATATACGGTTTATAGTCAAGTCATATACAGAACTACTAATACATGATAAAATGACAAAAAAGCAAATAAGTTATATCCATAGCACCGATTATTTCAAGTGTAAAAGAGATAGCTAATGGGTTTTAAACATAATATGGGAATTAGTTCTTTTTTCGATTACTTCGTATTCTCACAGTGCTCTTGAGAGTATGACACTACATACGTCACAGGTTACAGGTCGTCATACTTCCAGTATCAACTTTTTAATTAGTTTTTTACTAATACTTTATTACCCCCATTTCTGTGTTATATTCTTTTGTTACATACGAGCATTCAAAACTTTTTATTACATTTAGCACTCCAATTATCTTTATTGATTATTTTCATGATAAAATGATAAAATGAACTTTCGGTCGTTTTTGAACTTATAAAAAATTACATAATTAAGTTTTGTAAGAAAAAAACTAATAATCAATGTCAACGATAAGATTAACAACAAGAAAAAATACTAAAAGAAAATATGACTTTTTTCAAGTCTTACGGTCGATATTTCAGCTGTAATATAGTTCTTTCTATATCTTTCTTTATTCTTTACTGATCTTACTTTGTGAAAGGAATTGAAAAGGTTGAAGTATATAGACAATTGGGATTAAATATTGGCAGTAAAGCAAAATTGCGTAGCTAATTTTAGATGTCGTACATCTCAAATACTAAAATATTGAGACCTCTCAATAGATCACAATCAAAATTGTTTGTTTCAACACATAACACACTCGTATACTTTTAAAGAAAAAAATCGGGATTGTTATGGAACTTCATGAACATGTGTGAAATTTCTAGAGCAGATTTCTCTCAAAAAATTGTTATATGGGGCCCTACAGAATTAATGGCGAATACATTTCAGAATAAAGCATTAGAACACCACATTCACTTTCACTGTTTATATTATATTCAGTCCCAAACCACTCACTTTTCAGTCAATGAAATTATGTTTTAATTTTGAGGGAATTTGAAAATGTAGACTTGAGATTTTTTATGATTCAAATAGTGCTAAAGAGAGAGTTGGTACAAATAAATAATGGCGGCTAAGGCTTCAAATCCAATTGACGTTCGATCATTGTGAGAAATTTTTCTGCACATTTTTCATCCACAGAGCAATGATGGAATATGTTAAGTAAGACAACTCAGATATTATAACGTGACACATGGGTGGTTCTCTCAATAAAAAAGCCGCGACATCAAAAAACTTGACAAACCTACAAACCTGTCTGTCGTATAAGTTTCCATACGATAGATACAAAGTTTCTTCTGCATGGATAATTTTTCTAAAACCAAATTCTGTTTTTTGTCATTATTTGAAATAACTCAACTCCTTCTAGCTGTTTGTTTAAGATAGTTTCTATTGTTATAATCATCTTATAACATATTATAGGCAGATATCAGTCAGGGTCATCAACACTGATATTGACTGTCGTTTGAGTGTCTTGATAAACTAGAACTACTTGGTCAAAATATTCAATTATGAATTTAATGGTTTCCAAGATATTATGGAATTATCAGTAGCTTGGCTTTTGATTCAGAAGCTATTTTAAGACTTGGAAATGGTTAATTTGTACATTAAGAACAATAATAAATAAGACATAATAATATTTTAGAGCTACCACACTTAAGATCGTTTATAGCGACTCACAACCCATATCGCTTTAAACATTGTATCAATGTCAATAAGCAGAACTCAAGGAAAACTACAGATTTTCTGACAGGATGCTGACAGGTGAATAATGTTATCACCTAACAAAAATAGGAATAACTGTAATTATATTTGTAGCCTTTGCAGAGAAACAAATAAGGCAATTTATTGCAAACACTCTAACTTATTATAATTAGCAAAATAAACCTTTAAGTTCATAGCACACGATCACCCAATATTTATAATACCAGGTTTTGCTTTTTTAGTTTCTATTATGAAACGTAAAAGTAATTCCATAAAGTATATTAGTGTTTGATATTGATATTTTTTAACCTATAGAATTTTACTGTGTATATAACGCAGGTATATAATGCGTAACATGTAGCACCTTCGGACACTCAACATCATTAAATTGGAGTTATTACGCGATTTTTTGAGTTATTAGGCGATAATGACTTTACATAAAAAGTTAAAAATTCTTACGAGTTTTAATCCTTCAGCCTTCAGATTGTTGATTTTCACAAGAAAGCTTTTAACATATTTAATCTTCGAGTATCAAAGGGAAATCTCTTCCTACACTACCCTGTTTTGTTGAGTAAATGAAATAAATACGAATTAACAAAGGAACTGACGTTTACATGAATGCCTCAAATCTTAAAGAAGAATGGAGCTGGCACGGTTGCATGTTGAACACGAAAAACAAGCTTAAAATCAAAATGGCTATGTCCGCCATATTGATTCGAAGCATTCGAGTCACACGCACAGACACACGAGATTCCTGATTCAATTTACGACTTCTCCTGCGTTGAATTTGCTTAAAACTTCTAAGGAGCAACAATTATTTGCAATTACACGAAATTATGTTGTTGTTGTAACAAGTGCAACAAATGTTGCAACAACGTCGAAAAAAAGCCGATTAGAGTTGCTGCAACGGCGTGAAAGTACAAAGTAGCATGCATGAGAGCATGTGCGTGTATGCATTGGTGCAGGACAATGCAATAATTACTACAATTCTTTCTTAATTCCTCCAAAACCACTAAGTTGATGGTGTGGTTTGTTGGGTGCACAGGGGCATTTCAAATGACAAACCTACGTCTGCCCCGCGGTATTTAATTACGGAAGCAAAGAATTTTGCGTGCCTTAAAAACTATAATTTATTCAAATCTGCGAAGTTTCTTGTTTTACATGAAATAATGCATATAATTATGCATACATATCATTCTGATATACCTTAAATTTGTAACGCGGTGTATAAACCACGTCTCCATACATTCAAATCACCAAATTGAAGTGAAGTAAGCGGAGAGTGGGTGTATAACTAACAAGATATTGAAAAGACTCTGAAATGAAAAGACAATCCGGTCTACAAAAACTACAAGATTCATTATATGTGCAGTTGTAAAGTACACTTCCAATTTAGATGGATCAATCATTTGCTTTTGCTTTCTTCTTAACTATGTAAGCTTGAAGACGCTAAAAGTTGAAAAGACCCAAGTTATCGGAGTATAAAAGACTTGCAACTGAAATCACATTTCAGTGTTAATGTATAGGAAAATAAAGGTTGACTGTTTTCTTCTTAAAAGCTTACGTATTCATGAGAAAATTGACCGGACAATGAACATTAAAGAAAACGAAGTAGAAATCAACGAAAGCTACTTAATCGCTCTGAAATAGACAAAAACACAAGTTGACGAGAGGTGAATATTATGCTTCGTTTATCAATAATTGCAAGTTAAAAATCTGCTATTAAAAAATATTTTCTTTGTGTACTAAAAAAAATTTCATAAAAAATCAGCGTTCTTAAATTAAAACTAATATAAATATAATTAGGTATATACTTATTAGTACCTATTATGGGTTGTCCATCGCTGAAAGGCAGTATACAAGTTTCTATTGCTGATAGACAAAATCGAATTTTGGTATAGTGAACTGCAAACCGATAGAAGTTTTTCTATAAGCAGTAGACAAATTTCTCTACTGCATTTGAGCAGTAGAAGTTTGAAATTGGACGATACGACGAAACTTCATTAGCAGGTTTTTCTTGTTTGTGTACCATAAGTACTTCCGCCACTTTCCAATAAATTGGGAAGTGTCTTAAGCGCAGAGCTGCATTAATTATTTTGCACAGTTTGATTATTCCTTTGTTAGGGAATTGGTTTAAGATCTCAGCGGTTATCTGATTCCAACCAGGAACCTTTTTTAGTTTCATATTTCGTATTTAATTTATTTTATTTAATAATAAATAATAATTCATATACATTTTTTTAATATATCGTTTAATATA